AGAAATGAATAATCGCATTACTAAATGAACACTCCCGCAGCGAGGTACAATAGCAGGCTTTCCGACATTCAGTTGTGCCAAGCGACAGTTTACTAACCACAACCAGAACTGTTTGTTTCATTTAACTGTGTTTAGCTTATACAAGTGTACAAAAAGAGACGCCAGAGCTTATAAGGCTGCACTCAATTGCTTTAGCTTTGCACATATGTTCAATTCGCTCCTAAAATGATAAGTAGTAATGGTGATGAGCACTTTCAGCACAGCTTCCTCAAATACGTAACTTCTGTCATTTTAAGCAAGATTGTGTTCATTGAATGTGGTACTGTTTTTTTTATATAGCGGTGAAACGTCCCCGATTTGTTTGAGCACATCTGCTTCTGTTTATATTTAGTTGTCATAGCTACAGTGTCTGCACCTACGATGTGAAATTCTGTGCATCACCGTTATGAAAAAATTCTAGAAAATCGCAGAGGTAGTTGAAACATACATCCCCAAGAATTATCCACACCCACACTGCAAGATAGTGTGTATTTAAAGCCTTAACTTCTAAACGTAGCAGGAAGCAAACAACTTCACGTTTCAAGCACAAGTAGAGTGAAAAAGTTTACACAATAACATGTAATGAATGTGACCTTTATTGATCCAGTATTCGGACAAATTCACATCATGTGCCACTAATTTATTGCAGGTGTGTTTGCTCGCAAGCGAGTGCTCAGATTCTATCGATATGTCTATGCAAAAAGGGCATTGTTCTAAGGGCTGAGCACATAGTGTACTGTAAGAGCACCAACAAAGATGTCAACAACAAAAGTGTACAATGCATAGGTAAAGCTTAATTTTTAGAATTGGGCCTTTTCGATCTGTAAAGCACCCACCTCATAACTCTGTTTCTTTAGCTCAAATTTTTGCTGCATAGTCAGCAGAGTGGTCATTACCTGCGACGAGAAATCTACCTGTAGTAAATGTGTAACTGAACTCAAACCTTAAATGTAGCAAGCCTGAAATATTTTAGGCACATTCACCTAAATACATATTACTTATGATGTCGGCTCATGGCTGAGAACTAAAACTAGTGCCTACCCTGTAGACACGACGCAGCATATCACAATTGTGAAGTACTCAATGTAGCATTGCAGAACGAGAAATCTTCGGAACTGTATGCATCGACAATTGTTTATTTATTAAAGTTTGGAAAACTACATTGCCCTCACTGCGCGAGCTACCTATCTGGAATGTGCAAGTTTTCTTCCCGATTCCACATCACGCATTCACTTCAAGAACAACACTACAGGGAGAGCACCGCATCTGAGGGCAGAATCGGACCCGTGTCCTCAAGTCACACTATTAAACTCGAACGCCGCAACACATTGAGAGCAACGTTCATTCAACGATCTCGATGTTCGGTTATATGCTTGTGCTTGTTAATTTTCAAGAGTATTTACGCATGGGTTGAAAGCTTTCGATATGTACGAGTACTTCTCTTGTTCGGACCCGACCATACACATGAGTTGTACCGGCTTGGACACTCGCAATAAACGATGCAGATCTTACATGACTGACGTTGTTTTTGCCAGTGTGGACCAGTTAAATCACATGGTATTATATACAGACGTGAACCGTGATTTTGCAACGAAAAAAAAAATTGCCCGAGGAAGTGGGCAGGGCGAGCCAGCAGCGAGCCCCACATCTGCATTAAAAATGCGTCTTTTTTATTGATGATGATAGTACTACCAGTGCCATCTCGCCTCGCGGTATTATATAGGTCAGTATGCCGCCGCTACGTATTTGGACGTTATTTTGATACAACAGCACAAACGTACAGTTTCCGTTCTCTAATCTGGTAGGTGTTCTGTGGCCTCCCCGTTTCACGTTTAACGTTCTCAGTCAGCCGTGCGAGGCTGTTTCCTTCGCGCACATCTGCCGTTTTACATGCGAAGCATTTCTTAGCGAACTTGGGTGACTTTCAGCATATCTATCTATCTATCTATCTAGCCGCCTACGACTTTCAGCTCTCGTGGTCGTTTGGATAATGATATCGATACCAAACTTGGTATGGAATAACATGAGTATATACGAGCATATTTATTTTGTCTTAACGTTAAAATCATCACATGTATATGATGAATACCATGAATTACATTTCTTAGTCTTGCTGCTCTTGCGGTGGTTTCATTCACATGATATCTTGCAAAACTGGTATGGTATAACATCATCGTATGGCAAACACAAGCAAATGACCCTAACATAAAATTCATGACATGCGTGTCATGCAACAACATGACTACATGCCACGCTCATGATGCGCTGGCGGTCGTTGCGCTAGCTTAACTTATACGAAATTTGGTATTCAGGGGCGTGAATGGTTGACGAAGGTGTGAGACTGGTGCAAACAAGATAAACATCAGATGCGTGTCATGTAACAATATGACTCATGCTGCGCTCATGATGCGCTCGCGGCCGTTTCACTAGCTCCATATATACTGAATTCAGTATTACGTTATACGAACGGACGACGTAGTTAAATGACACATGCAACCATGATAATCACGACATGCGTGTCACATAAATACATGGCTACATGCCTCACACATGATGTGCTCGCGTCCGTTTCGCTAGATCCACATATGCCAAATTTGGTATTACGTGACGTCAATGGATGACGAAAGCATGTGACTGGTGCAAACATGATAATCATGAGATGCATCTGATGTGAGAACATGTCTACATGCCACAGTCAAGGTGTCAATAGGCACCCGACAGTGGACCAGATGGCGCCACGAAGCTCTTTCGGCCGCCTCAGCATTGTTGGTACCGACCACCAGGGATACTAAGAAAATTGAACGCTCGCTGAAACAAAGTGACACGCTGAAGTGTGAGCGCCCTTTTTGGCCCGCTTGGAAGGAACGTTTTCTTGGCGCTTACATAATCAGCCGTGAGCCCCTTGCTCACAACTAAAAAAGAACATGATATGCACTTGCAAGTTCGATTTTGCTGCGCCTACTCGCTAGGCTGTGTGTTTTGGCGCTACCATCAGTACCTGCGTTGCCGGGTGCCTATACACTTCGACGCGGACGCGCGCCGGCATTCGTTTCGTCGCGCCACGCTGGCGTTGCCCCTCCAGGCGCCGGTCCTGCCATATATTCCTAGGCGCGCGCTGCGTTGCTTTGACGCATGCGCGTATCAGCGCGTCCGGCGACCCTCCGTCACGGAAAGAAGGAGACGCAGTTCTGTTCGAATAAGGTATTGGCGGGAAACGCAGCATGCTGCATTTCGCGCCGGTTGCCGTCGGGCCGCGCTGACGAACGCTGATCGCACCGGTTGCGCTTGGCGTTAGACTAAAGAGTGCTCACGTTTGGATAACGTAGCGTCACTGTGCGCTGCGTGCGTGTGCGTCAACGGTACGTTGGAGTATATTGAGCCCTTCATAATGCAGTCGAGGCCATTTTGCTAGCTCTACATACACCAAATTTGGTGTTACGTGACGTCAATGAACTGCGAATGTATATGACTAGTGCAAACATGATAATCATGAGACGCGTGTCATGTAACAACATGACAACATGCCACGCTCGCGGTGTGCTAGCGGCCGTTTTTCTAGCTCCAAATATACTAAATTTGGCATCACGTGACGTGAATGCGTGAGGTGACTGACAATGAACGCGTGACGTCACTTGACGTGACGTGACAACGATCACGTGACATGACGAAGTTACACAACACATCTTACCATAATAATCATCACACGAAGTCGTGTACGGCGTATTTTACCTCCACCTCGTTACGTTGGGGTGATTTGGAAGTGACATATCAACCTTCTTCATTCGTGCTTCGCATATCATCTATTCCCACTGTACGTGGGGCCTGCCATTTTTTGCCGTTTGAAAAATGGGTCTGAGACCAAATTTTCACACCGTTTGCCGTTTGCCGGACAGCGACGTAGCCAATCACTGTACGCTATGGCGTACGTGTTGTTTCTAGACTACGTTCTAGCCCAGAATAGAGCATTTAGGCTTGTCCGGTATTCAAAATAGCGCACAGCAGTTAAAATGACGTCTCCCAAAGCAGGCGTTCGAACAAGTGGCGCCAACTCTAAAGTGCTAGCAACAACTAACAGGAGTGTAATGTTTGTCCTCCGATATTTGGAAAGGCTTGCTTAAGCCTATAACATCAATTATTTGAGCATGGTTCTTAATGAAGGTGCCGCATTTATTCAAGTACTGTGTTGTCGAAGCTAAAAGACATGAGTTTAAAGCAAACAGAAGCATTAGTTCTGAGCTTACAAGCTACAGAGCGCACCGCGACCACTTGATAGATTCGAGGTGGTCGAGAATGGCATTCGGAAGGGCAGCCATGTTTGTCAGAGACTGAAATGCCTCACCGGCGAAGCTTGCTGTTCACGTTGGACAGTCATCCCGTGGACGGCGGCGGCCGACGGTGCACGGCGCTGCGCCGTTAGGGCAGGCTTGCCACTGGCGTGAACGAGCCTTTACACAGGCTAATCAAAGAGCTGCTTCGCATCTAAAAATGTGGCTTAGTGTCTTTAGAGTGGGCGACTCTATAAAATGAAACACCCTCTATAGGGCGGATATGCAGTAGAAAACAACGTCAGGTATAGCTTCCATAGAGAAAAGCATATCCAGCAAATTGAATATAAGCTTTCATAAGTTCTGATAAGCCTTTGTGTTTATTAAAGAAGGAAGTAGACAGGGAGCAACACAGTAAGGTAATCTGCAAAAATTTGTTAAACATACGTTTCACTTATTTTCTAAAGGCAATGGCTTCTCACGCAAAAGAAAGCTTTAAGGTTTACACAGATGTTGGAATGACTGGGGTAACGCGCTGTTTAGTCCTCATTATGTGAAATACACGTTGTTGCGATGCCCGACTTACGGGGTGTCTAATCAAAGCATTAAGGAGGATTATTTGTGGAGTCCTATGTACAAATATTCAAGAATTTATAAAGGTGAATTACTGTATTCAGCCATTTGTCGACGAAAAAATCATCCAACGAGCCCACCAAGGACATTTATTTACCAGCTTTCCAAAACATCGCAGGTATGTTTGTTGTTTGTGGTTGTCGTTGTTGTTGTTTCCAGTCGTGTAAACAGTCTTCAAGTCGTCAGCTTTGACACAGCATCTGCACGGCCTTGGCTTTCCCAGTATTCCTTAGCTTTTTGTGATCCATAGTTGAGAGCGAGAGCAGCGTCCGCATCCATAGCAGAAATCAGTATGATGACTGCAAAAGAAATGAATTGTTTTCTGTAGTTCTCTTAAATCTATATCCAAAAATACCTTTCAAGAGTACTTATTCCTTTTTTGTAATAAAAAGAAACAATGGCGTCCGTGTATTTCGGGCTCGGCTGAGCCACGTAATGTTACTTTCTGGTCATCGTAGTGCGCAGCCTGTGATCGATAGACCTTGAACTCCTGATTGCATATGGATGAGATGCTTGAACACCAATAATTTTAACGAATACAAGATAACATTACAACAATAACAGCATAAACTTAACTCACAAAAATGTCAATCGCGCGGAAAAAAACATTCAAAGCTTAGCTAACGGATCATTACAGCAACATATAATAACTTTAAATTCACATTATTAGCCTAGTAAGTTATACCCCTGAATACTCCCACATATATCAATATGTTAGTTGAAAAAAAACACCAAGTCAGCTTATACATTTTGGGTTAGTTAAAATTGTTTCAGTCTGTTTACTCACACCGTCGGCTGCTATGAATATTAAACCTGCAAATGGGCACGAATATCATGGCTTATTCTGTTGGCTGCTCTGGCTCTCCGGCTGAGAGTCGCCAGTTGCAGATGCTGCTCGCAATCTGAGCGCGAGAGGCAGCGTACCAATCGAATGCGACTACATCGGCGATTTCAGGACGCCAACAGCAGCGTGGCTGTAGTGCCATTTTCTAGCCAGTGCGGGAATCTACTAAGTAAACAATGCTTTGCCTGCGCCGTCTCAACAAATGGGGCCGATCAGTTCAGCGGATATCTCTGATACGTCCGACATTTCCTACATTCTCTCTCTCCAACACATGAGTGTATGTAGCGAAAGCCTTGTCAGGTCAGCACGTAAATCTTACGATTGTTTTAGTCCGAACAGCTAACCTCAAGACAAACCACGAGGCTGTCTGTGAGGTGCAGTAGCGACAGCATGGATGGTACCTCCGCCTTTGCGCTTGTCGCCTCGTTATTGACAAGGTGCATGTATGGATTCGTAAATGTTAATTCACCCCACGCATGCTCAAAAACACCACCTACAATGCCCGTGCACGAAGTAGCGCGCACCAGGCGATGCCCCCTCCCAAAATGCCCGCTCGCGTTCTTCACTTGCATAGCTCACATGCCAGAGCCTACGTCATATGCCGGCATGTGTCACGTTAGGGCCCACTCACAGTAGTAGCAAGTCTGCCCTGACGGTGTGGTTTCATAAGCCGTCGGCCGGTGCTGTCCGCAGGCGAGTTGTTCGAAGTGTACGGGAAGCTACGCCGGCGAGGTTTTTCTGCCTCTGACAAACATAGCCGCTCTTCCGAATCCAGTTGTCGCTACGTCAAATCATTAATGTGGCTGCCGTGCGCTCTGTAGCATGTAAGCTCGCAACTGATGCATTGCTTTGCTTGGGATTCCTGTCCTTAAGCTTCGACAACACAGTACTCTAATTGATTCTGCACCGTTTTTGAGAGCCGTGCTCAAATTAATGATGTAAGCTTACAGAACTTCCTGAATCTCAGAGTTTTTGTATCACAAGTTTGTTGCCCCGCCGCGGTGGTCTAGTGGCTAAGGTACTCGGCTGCTAAGCAGCAGGTCCCGGGCTCGAATCCCGGCTGCGGTGGCTGCATTTTCCATGAAGGCAGAAATGTTGTAGGCCCGTGTGCTCAGATTTGGGTGCAAGCTAAAGAACACCAAGTGGTTGAAATTTCTGGAGCCCTTCACTACGGCGTCTCTCATAATTATAAGGTGGTTTTGGGACAATAAACCCCAGAAATCAATCACAAGTTTGTTAGTTGTTTCTAATCCTAGACCACTGGGTCCGGGTGCCAGCTATGAGACATGTTTGGTTATACACTGCACCTTTTGTGAATACTGGAGATACTAAAACGCTACATGAAGTGCTGGAATCAAGCCTGAGAATAACACGTAAGACATCCAAATTTATAGCGTGAGTCGAATTCGCCCGTTGGATTTCGAGCTCAGCGGTTTTGTCGCCCTCAATCTCCGACGCCAGCGTAGCTTTAACTTATCGGCTCACCGTACACGATCTCCTGAGAAGTGCCCTGTGCTCGGACTCCCTCGAGCGCGTTGACCGTCTCCCATCTATCACACCTCGTCTCTATTTCTGCCGCTCCTGTGTGGCAAGTGTTCTCTCTTCTTTATATTATCCCCTTTTCCCGTTGCTTACAAGACACTCTGCCGTGTGATCTATAGACAGACATAAATAAGGTCTTTTTCCTCCTTCTGCAAGAACCAGGCATTCGTTCATTACAGCCTGAAAACTGCAGAGCAAGAAGCAAGCGGCTCGTAGTGTCGGCAGACGCAGACGATGCGGGGAGTCGATAGCAGATGACACAGCTCACCTGACACGGCTCACAAAGGAAGAACATCAACGGCTGTAGGAGGACGTAGGTGAATGAGCATCGATATAATTTTATTGTGCGAAAAAATGCCTGCTTCTAAGTTATCGACTTCCAGAAAACTAATAGCGTATTCCGAGTTGGAGTATCTGGGGTGCTCTGATAAGTTGCTGCGCCTTCAGTTGGTAGAATTCGAGCGTTTGGACTACCTTTGGTTGGCTCTTTGAGAGCGCCAAGCACTGACTCGTTGCGCCCCCGACAGCTCTGGGTCTGAAGTGAGAGCGTGGCGCGATCTGACCAGCTGACCAGGACGACAAGTAAGAGCTGGTTTAGGATAGCGGCAAGCATCTTTCGTCGTTGCACGTTTGACGTTCTCAGACAGCCGTGCGTGGTTGCTTCTTTTGCGCATGTATGCCGTTATTTGGCGTTCGAAGAATGGGACCGAGACCCCCTTTTCGCGCAGTTTGCCATTTGCCGGAGCAGTGCGCGTCCGAGCGCTCAAGAACTCTCGAATACAGAATACGCTATTATTTTTTCCGGAAGTGACTATCTTAGAAGTACGAAATTTATATATGTTTTAAAAATAAGCCCTGAAGTATACACTGTTTTCATGAATATATATATATATATATATATATATATATATATATACTTTGCCTGTAGCACTGCCCCACGGAACCAGTGTGGTTTGCCTCACAGAAACCAAACCAATTTCTCTGGTGCCCCTTCACGCAAACTCGCCATCTTTCTCTAGGAGTACTGATGACCATGCTACAACGGCTGCTGTAACAGTCACAATAAATCCTGATCTCACGTCTGCGCAAAAAAAACTTTTGGGTTTGCTTCAAAAACACAGCGCTTCATTTGATGTCAATTCCAAGCTTTTTGATCGCACTTCCGTCGGCGTGCATCGAATTGAAACGGAAGGCAATACAATTGTACGTCGCCGCCCATATCGAGTGTTATCCGCAGAGCGAAAAATCATCAGAGACAACGTTGCTGATGTGCTCAAACGAGATGTCATCCGGCCTTCGTCCAGCTCGTAGTCATCATCTGTAGTGCTAGTCCGAAAGAAGGACGGTTCATTGCGCTTTTGCGTCGATTATTGAGCAGTTATTGAGATCAAACACAAAGACGTGTACCAGATACCACGAGTCGACAACGCACTTGACTCTCTCAAACACGCTGATTTTTTTCCCCAGCCTCGATTTACGGTTTGGTATTGGCAAATACTGATGCAAGAACCGGACAAAGAAGAACTGCCTTTGCAACACCAGACGGGCTGTATGAATTCAACGTCATGCCATTCGGATTATGTAATGCTCCTGCCACAAATGAACGCATGATCGACACAGTTCTACGCGGCCTAAAATGAAAAACGTGTCTCTAGATGACATCGTAATTTTCTCCTCTTCTTTTCGTCAGCATCTTGATCGTTTGGAGGAAGTTTTGACGTGTATTTTTAATGCTGGACTTCAGCTAAACAAAAACGGCTATTCCGCCACTAAGAACATCAAGGTATTGGGCCACTTTGTCAGCAAAAATGGCGCTCATCGTATCCTGACAAGCTTGTTGCCGTGATACGCTTCCCTCGGCCAGAAAGTCAGAAACACCTACGAAGCTTCCTGGGCCTGGCGTGCTACTTTACCCGCTTCATCAGTCATTTCACTGCCATCGCGTCGCCACTGCACAAGCTTCTGACATCCGGATCCACTTTCGCTCGGAACGACGACTTCGAGCGTGCCTTTCAAGCCCTCAAGCATGCTTTAACATACGATCTTGTTCTGTGCCATTTCGACGAGAACGCACCTACATGTCCGCACAACGACGCGAGTGGCCACGGCATTGGTGCAGTTCTAAGCGGGATACCTTTTCAAGGGAAAAAATTATTGCGTATGCTAGTCATGCTCCGACGGCTGCTGAACAGAGCTACTCCATAACTGAGAAGAGTGCCTCACTGTCGTTTGGGCCATACAAAAATTTCTCCCGTATCATTACGGACACCACTTCACAGTTACTACAGACCATCTCGCCTTGTGCTGGTCATCGTCACTGCAAAACTTGTCTGGTCGCCTTGGTCACTCGGCGCTCTGCCTACAAGAGTGCAATTTGGCGTCATCTATAAGTCTGACAAAAGACACCAAGATGCAGATGCTCTCTCTCGCTGCCCCCTTCCACTGTCATCATCGAGTACGTCAGCTAATTGCTCGTCTGGTGCGCAAGACACTGTGCCACCCCTCACATTATCACACCTTGTGGTTATCGAGACGCTGGCTTCAAATGAACACACTGAGTTTCCCAAACGCCAGCGTGATGATCCATATTGCAATCACATTATCTATTGCTTAAATGGCATATCACCTGCTCCTAATGCTAGATTGTGCTGACTACTACGGCAATTTAAGCTCGATAACAGTGTGCTCCATCGTTACGTTTGCATTACTGATGATTAAAGAACCCCAGGTGGTCGAAATTTCCGGAGCCCTCCACTACGGCGTTTCTTATAATCATAGGGTAGTTTTGGGACGTTATACCCGACATCACAATCAATCAATAAATAAATCACTCAAAACACTACTGACGGACACCGCTGGGTTCCAGTACTTCCGCGTTCTCTACATCACCAAGTCCTCGAAGCCTTTCATGAC